GGCAGGTAGCCGCACCACGAACGCACTCTTCGACCTGGGCAGTCAGGTCACACTGATCACCGACGACCTGTGTGACCGGCTCGGCATCTCGGGGCCCACCGACAAATTGGTGCTGAGTACGCTGAGTGGGACCCAAACGACGACGTCACGACGCGTATCCTTCGCCGTCGAGGCTGTGGGCGGCGACGGCAGGGCACACCGTATACGAAACGCCCAAACGACGCCGACGTTAAACGTGTCAGCCAAGGCCATGGACTGCACAGTAGCAAAGGAGAAATGGCCGCACCTTGCCGACCTGGATCTCCCCAGCGCCACCCACGGCCCAGTGGAGGTGCTCCTGGGAACCGACGTCATCGAACTTATTGTGCCGCGGGAAGTGATCGAGGGACCGACGGGAACGCTGTGCGCCGTAAGGACGCTGTTGGGATGGACGGTGACCGGGCGGGCGTCAGAACGCTCGGTGCTCGATGGTGAACACGTTGTCAATCACGTTCGTGTCGGTGATAAAACCAGTGCAGTCGCTGACCTTCACACCCAGGAATCATCAGAGACGACCCAGTGGTGTCACGCAGCCGAGCCGCCGGGCCCGGCCGACATCTTCAGCAGAGGCGGCCCGGGGACGGACCTCGCCCCCGGCGGACCGTGGATACGAGGTCCAGCTGCGCGGTCCGGCCCGGCCGCGTATTCGCCAATTGTATTACACGAATCGGCCCATCAACTAGCGACATCTCTAGTGCGACGTCATAGCCATCCGCCGCGACAATGCATGCATTGAGGCTAGATTTGAGTTGAGACTATTTTTGCATTGTATATGGCGGTCAGATATGTATGTGTCGCCGTAGCCGAGTGGTTAGAGTCTCGGTGTGACGGACGACAGGTCAGTGGATCGATTCTTGCTTCAGCGGTTCTTTTCTCTTAAAAAGAAGTCGGTCGAAGACGCGCATTTTTGGCCCCTACGTTCGCACGCCAATATCGTACGCCCAATAAATCTCTGACAAGTGTTCATCTGATTAAGGAATAAGTTGCAAAAGAACTGCAGTTGTAGTCTATACCTAAACTACCAATTTTGTTACGGCACTGTCGATATTCGTCAAAGTCGGAAGAGCTATTATGAAACACACTCGAATGACAACGGATTCCTGTATTATTTCATCGATCAGATAAGACATGTATAGAGATAAATTGATGACAGCCCGCCGTGAGCATGCAACTTAACAACCAGTCCCAAGTTATCTTCATAAACGTCTAATATAAATCTTTTGACTTTAACTAGATTCCAAGTAAGGGGACGTAGGTATCCCCCTGGCGGCTGAAATGTAAAAGTTATAGTTAGGGCATAGCTCCTATAGATGACGCTCTGACGGCTGGAAACTGATTATCTCGTCCCGTGATTACGCTAACAGCTACGCCGAACCTTTTTTGTGCATGGTGATTCTTACACGAAAAGCTATCTAATAGCCTGCTTACCAGCGTGCGATTTTTACTTTTCATCTTAGGTTTCGCTACTTTTAGGTACTTTACCTTGCCAAGTGCCCACCTACTTTCAAAAGGTCAGCGCCGCCCCTGTCAATGCTGCGTGCTATCACCCATTGGCAGTGAGAAATATTGATCAATGAATGGCCATCGCCCAGCACCATTTGTCTTTCCATTGGCTACGTTCGCATAGTATGCACTATGCATTAGTGATGTCAATCACAGAAAATCAGAACACCGCTACCAAACCAAATACAAACAAAGACCATTGGAAAATACCGAAACCGAACCAATCGGTTGGACTGCAAATATCTATTTTATGCAACATATTCATTAGAAGAATGCCTACGTCTGATTTCTTAGGTGCACGCCGTTACAAATGTATAAAAAACGCACAATGACAGATGACACGAAAATCGAAGTCGCCGAGTGGATTCGAACCACCTACCTCTGAATTTCCAGTCTGATACTCTAACCACTTCGCCACGGCGATAACGTAACACATGTAGCTTAAATGTCAATAACTTAAAACCTAGCTTCAATAGACGCCACCAGGGCGAGGACCGAAAGTATGACGCCACGCTGACGTCACTCAGGAGGCAAGCTATTGGTTGGCCGATTCGTGTAATACAATTGGCGAATACGCGGCCCGGCCGCCCTCTCCGACGACGAGACGAGGGTGACAGCGTGCGTCACCGAGCGAGCGGAGCCGGTCGTAAACGGCAGTGACTTCTCGTCCTGCCTCATGGACTCCGGCGGCCTGCTCAGAGTCGGTGGCCGTCGCTGGAAGCGGAAGAACACGCAGCCGCATGATCGCTCCTGGCGACGCCGGCGGCGAGAGTGTCTCCCCGCGCACGCTGACCGCACACTGCATGTCGATCATGGACACGACCGAGGTCAGGGTCGACGAACCAGTGCGGCTGACCGACGGAGACGTACCGCGTGGACACCGGCCGATGGGACGAGCGGGGTGTATGACCCCGGTGTAGGCGGTCGTATCCGCGCCGTGGATGCGACGACTGCCACCGGCCAATACAGGCGGCCTGTCAACCGCCTCTGCCGCCTCGAGTGCGACGGTGACGGACAGTATTGATGGGATAATATGCGCGCGCGTGGGACGACTGAAGTGAGTCGTTTACGACCCTGCCGTGCCGCCGGCGAGCAGTGTCGAGATCTGGACATCTATTAGTGTTTCCTGCGCCCACCATTCGCGGTGCTAACGCGTGTGTGTGCGTGAGAGAGTGAGCCGCTCATTCTGTCCGCTGCGAATGGTCATTTGTGTTGAGTTCAGCCATTAGCTATCAGCTGTGAGCCGTGTGACAGTTCTTGGACGCGCTAGTAGTTAACGACCTTAGAGTGTAAGGTAGCAGTGTTAGATTAGTTTATGATACGCACCGTGTTAGCGCTATTGTACGTCCGCGTTTGTTCGCTTCGCCGCTTCGGTAACGTAATGTGTGTCGTGTTGTACATTGTGTGATGGGTGTTTGTTGTGTGTCGGCCATATGACGGCAATGTCACTGCCGCCAATGCCTCTCGGCCCAGCGTGTGTAGTTTACGACATGCGTCAGTGTGTGACGGCACCCGGCTGCCGAGACCGCGCCGTCACCAGTTTTATGACTGGGTGATTGTTGGCGGGGATAATGCCTGCCTCAGTCAGACATTGTGTAGTGCGTAATGTGCATTGTATGTGAGTGTATGTATATCGCGCATGTTGAACGGATCGTTACGAGTGTGTGCGTGCGTACGGGACGCTTGAACGATTGCTCGCTAGTTGTTAGATTTTCCGCGGATGATCGCGAAAAACCGGGCCGGCTATGTTAGCGAGCAAATAGGTATTTTGGATATCCTCGCGAAGACGGCCGGCGCTCGGAGCGCGGCGGTCGGCCCGCCGCGCCGCGCCGCGCGCACATGTGTAAATCGTGTCATCTGGCCCCTGTCCTGGTTCTCATGCCCACGTGTTGTGCTACCACGAGGGCTGAGACGGGACGGGGGCCCGACAGTCTTCGACGGGACTCCACCGGTGCGCGACGGCCCGGTGCACGACGTGGCCGACGTGGCCTTACGTACGACGCGGCCGACGTGGCCCTACGAGAACGATTCAGTGAACCGCATTTGTGACCGCCGTATTTTGTGCATTTTAATCGTTTCCGTTTCATTCAAGAATAGACCTTTACTTATATGAACAATAACTTTATGGTCCTCCGGGTAACGAGTACGAGAACGAGTGAACGATCACGAGCACGCACGAACATTTCCGCATCGAACGGGTGAACTGAACGATTCTCATGAACAAGATAGATAGATAATTTTTTCTGACCACCCTGCTGTCGCTGCATGGCGAATCAGTGCCCACTGACTTTTAAAACAAGAAAACTTTGTTTTCATTTTTTGATTTCATGTTAATTTTAAATGTTTTTGAGCCTATCAAATGATAAAAGTATTTAGAATTTAGTTCAGTCGTCCCGGTTCCTAAATGCCGCAACTGCGCCATGACTGTACGCTAATCCTATTCCGTTTGTGATACGAATTACCGGCCGTCGAGGAGTCAGCCCGGGTGAGCCAAACAAGATCCGTTTGACGTAGATAAAACGAATTAGTCTCATGTAACCGGTGCCGTAGATACGTTTGTGGGGAGCTGATGCGCATTAGCGTAGTGCGTATTTGGAACGGATCGCTCATGTAACCCCGGTATATGAAGCTATTCGTGGGCCTATCTAACAGGGCCCATGGACTGCTTACCCCCTCAGTTCTAATATTTTTTGTTAATAAATATTTTTCTATTTATTTGGGCCCCTCCAAAAAATATTGGATCCAACCAGATGGCTTTTTGGATTTTTAGGGGGTTATTTTGGGCTCCTGTGCGTTTGCCCCCTCCTTGAGGAAATTCTGACTACGCCCCTGAATATCGGGCAACCAGAAAACCTTTTTTTGACCTTCGAACAGCATCCAGTTTGCTTAAGACCAGAAAGGTAGTACCGGACATCCGGCCGGGCCAGAATTTTTGCATTTGCTTCTGGGTGGGCAAATCGACGCCACTGGGTGGGCAATTGTGGTGACTGGGTGGGCATTTGCCCACCCAGTGGGTATGTTAGAGGAGGCCCTACGTCGTTACGAGCTGCAGCGATTGCTACCCGATTTTTAAGTCTTACATACATAGGCGGCGGAACGGGGAGGGCACCGGGGCACCGTGCTCCCCCTTTGATTTTGACATTTTAACATTAGCCCTATGGGCGTTGCATGGAAAGAATGGGACCAAAAGTCGGCAGTGCCCCCCCCCCCCTAATTGAAGGTGTTCCACCGCTACTGCTTACATAGGTCAACCGGTGATCTCTGAGGTCATGTCAAGTACCTACGTCCTACATACGGTACGGCTTTTAGTTTTTGGTGGAGGTGTAAAGGTGTAAAAAAAAAAACTGCCAGCCGTGAGTTGCCAGACGGGTACAAATGTATTCAGTGCGGCGTTCCCATGGCGCGGTGACGTCACGGCCCCGCCGCTGGGCTGGCTTAGGCGGACGCGCGACGTGCCGCGGGAGCCAGCTGGACGAGCGGCGTCGGGGCGGCTGGACAGACCGGACGCCGGTCAGCAGCGCAGAGTCCTCTCAGCAGTCCGCACCGACCAGCAGCTCACCAGCGGGTGAGAGAACGGGCCGCACAGCGGATCTCGGCCGGGCAGCCCGCTCTGGGCTCTCAGGGACCTATGGTGTCTCTGCGTAACGGTTCATGGGCAGACCGGCCGGGGCAGCATACATAGTGAGGCGCTGCAACGGCCGGCCGGGACGGCAGCGGGCGCACTTTCCTTAAGCAAGCTAAAAAGTATACCATTCGACGCGCCTTGACGTGCTGAGTTCACTGGTGCTTTTCTTTTTGCTTTATCTTAATTAGATCAAAAGTTATAAACGAAAAACTTTTGACCTTTTTTAAGCGAAATTTTTACATTTATATCCCCTAAACCCCCCTAAATATTGACCTAGAGCAACCAAATTTGCACAGGGGCGAGAACACCAGGGGGCCCACCTACCTAGCAAATTTGGTGTTTCTAGGTGCCATAGGAGCCAATCGCGAGGGGGGACCCCCCTGCCAGGCCGTGTTATGAAAAATGCCCTGCCAGAGCGAGGGTTAAAGCGGATTCCTACCAGTTACTCTGCCTTGTAATGGCGCATACAACCACTTTACCGCTAAATTCTAGTTGAATTAGCGGCGCATTAGCAAGGTGGGTTTAATCAACTCCCTCGGCCGGGGCAAATGTAGAAAGACGATGGCCCGGCGAGTGATAAACACAAAGTTGTATCTAAGGAATTCTGAAGATTTGATCGTGTTCCCCACTCAATTCCATGTAAGATGCCGGGTTCCGTGTCTACGTAGCTTGAACGTAACGGATGCGGCGGCCGCAAACGTAAATCGAGGCCGGAGGCCCCGAATTCCCCATTGCCAACCCCCGCCGTCCAGTATCGTCGTGCCCGGTGCACCTTGTGCAATGTGCATCCGGTGGCTTCTGGTGTCGTCCGGTGCCTTCTGCAGGTCCGCCCAGGGCCGTCCATGCCGCATTGCTGCCTCAGCTGGATCAGCTGGTCAAAAAGGGTCGTATCGCGGCTGCAGCCGGCTGTTGCGCGCTGGGCGTGCAGCTCAGATAATGGATGGTTACCGGTCCTGACAATGTCCCACCGTGACTGTAGGTACAGCGTCCCAGCGTGACTGTACATTAGGGGTACCCATTTTTGGGTCAATTTTCCCAATTTTAGGTGGGGTGGATTTTCCCATTATTTGGTCTTTTCTGATTCCAGCTGTGCCAAAAATAGCGTAATCAAACGATTTCTAGGGGTCGCGAATTCAAAATGAAAATGTCAATTTTAGCAAAAAATCGGTAAAAATAATGTTATTTTATTTTTTTAACAAGGCTACCATGCCAACAGGTTGGAGTTCATTTTCCCATTATTTGTTCTATTCTGATTCCATCTGTGCCAAACAATAACGAAACCAAACGATTTCTAGGGGTCACGAATTCAAAATGAAAATGTCAATTTTAGCGGAAAATCGACCAAATTTTGATGAGAGAATAGTCGTACCAAATTTCGTAGCGCCGCGGTTTTCCCGCTATTTACGAAAAACCTCAGGCGGGGGGGCAGATATCCCCCCCGTCGGTGCGCGGGTTAGAGGAAATGCATCACTTGCCATGCCACAGGACATGACTACCTAAATAGGCTAACTCGGAATGCACACAACTTGTCGATGCCCAAGCGTACAAAAACTTCTGGTAATGCATGGCATCGAGATGAATCGTTCGACAGATAAAAAAAAATAATTATTGCCCTCAAACATAAATAACATTACTGCAGGAAATGGCAGATAGCCAATGCACATTGCATGACCATCTCCGACCTCCGTTAATTATCAAAAACTGGACGCGACATGGAGAAAGAGTGGCCCTAAATTGTCATAAATCATTACCAATGCATAAACTACTTGATGTTGAAATTAGGAAAGGGGAGTGGTTATGGCCGAAAATTAAAATAACAACGTCCTAACACTATCATTACAGGCTGCCCGCTGCATCATGCCTCCCACCCTGCACTTGACATCGGGCCGACAACAAACTCTCGTGAAACCGCGACTTTGATAGGGCACATACACTTAACTCATCACGGACGCACGTGATGTGACTGACATCCACGGTATCTGGTGACAATACACCAAAGTTCATGCATCGTTACGCTGGCTGGTGTCATGAAGGCGAAAAGAGACATTGGAATAACAATGGTTGGTGACATGACGGCGAATAGAGAAATTAGTATAACAATACTTTGGTGACATAGATACTGGACCATCGGAAATGTGCGGACCTGTCAGTTGGCGACATGCTAACTAGCTCTCGAATATGAAGAGGGTGGTTGGATCATGGATGAACCTTTCGGTCACGCCGTGCGCTCCACTACAAAAAGCACGCGACCCGTTGGTGGGGGGGGGGGGACAAAGGGTTCCATATGGTTTTTCGCAGATAACTAAGAAACGTCTGCGAACTTCGACTTGAAACTTTCAGTACCTCTCCGGACATCAAATTTACACATCTCCTAAAAAATAGATTCCAGGTCATCTCAAGTTACGAGTTAAAGAGATCAGACTGAGGTCATGTTTGGCCATTTTTCGTCGAAAAAGTTGTTCACGTAGAAAAATCGCAAAAAAAATCAGCCTTTCAAGCTATAGAGTCAAAAATTGCACCATAGGTTCAAAGAAGCATAGCAAACAAAATGGCTATCTGGAAATTTTCAAAATATCAAAATCTCAAGATCTAGAGATTTTCAAACTGAAAATTTAGATTGCTTGATATATTTTTTTTAAATTTGCGAGGAAAAAAAAACGAAATATATGTCAGAGAACCACTTACTGGCCTCACATATGTCAAAGATCAACAAAATATCTCTAAACCTGCCAGAGATATACCCTCTTAAATGACTAAAAAATTCGCGACTTAATTATTATGACGTCACAGTATTTCGGTATTTGTACTTAAAATCAGCCTAGGGTAATATGTATGATACATATTTTCATTGTAAACTGATACAATTTGAACTTTTTGACCTTCTTGTGACATCATAGGTCTGAGAAAAGTGGTCAAGGAGGTATAAGTGGCTTTTATGACATATGTACCTTCATAAAACTGGTTTATTCAAATTTCAGCATGCCCTTCTCTACGATTCACGAAAGTGTTTTCTGATTGGTCGAGGCTGACCTCTCTTGTGACGTTACAGGTCACCATCCATTTGGGAGGAGCGCTCTGTGCCGCCGCTGCAGTCCGGAGGTGCGCCCAGTGCCGCCGCTGCAGTTCAGAGGTGCGCCTGCAGCGCTGTCGCCGCGCGACGCCCACCATGGCGCCGTCGCCGCTGCTGCTGCCGCTGCTGCTCCTACTGCTGTCCTCCGGCTGCCAAGGCCGCAGCAACGGAGCACCCAATGACGCGTGTGAGGACATGACGCCGCGTCACCAGGGCATCCGGCCGCAGGCGCCAGAGAGCTTCCCCTACCAGCTGCAAGTCACGCCGAGGACCGTCCAGCCGGGAGGCAGGTCAGTGAGAGGGTCCGGGGGAGGGAAAAGGTCAACAGGTCAGTGGGCGGAGCCGAGGACCGTACAGCCGGGAGGCAGGTCAGTGAGAGGGTCCGGGGGAGGGAAAAGGTCAACAGATCAGTGCCAGGTGTCGGGAAAAGGGGCAGGGTTGCCAGGTCAGTGGGTGGAACCGAAGGAAGGAAAATGTTTAGCAGATTAGCGCCGTCCGCAGGTTGAACTGCCTGTGACCTCAGCTTGGCCTCAGTGCCGCCCACAGGACGACCTCTATGTAACCTCGGTGTGACCTTCATATGACCCCTCTGTCGGCAGGGTGACCCTAACCATCAGGCCGAGCGACTCTTCCACGGCCGACATCGAGGGCTTCTTCGTGCAGGCGCGGAACGCGAACACGGTCAGCGCCGCGCCACTGGGCCAGTTCGTCGAGATCGACGATCAGCAGCGCGCCGTCGACTGCGGCGGCACCGCGGTGAGCACCGCCGTGTGCGGCTCGGGGACTCCGGGAAGGGGGCCCGTGGACCTCCAACTTCCGTTTTCCACATTACTTACTTCGAGTGTGACAGAAGACAAAAAGATCAGCTAGATATGTGGACTGGTAGAGTTCTGCACGAGCATAAACTTTTCCTGTCCCACAGTTTGACCTCCCCTATGCCTCTGACTCGTCGTCCTACCAAGTGTCACCATCCGTGTGATTCCCAGTGTCTGAATGATTGCCTTTCTCGACCGTCTGAACAGTCCCAATATGTATCCGCAGACGGCCGTCACCCATAGCAACAGCGGCCCCAAGCAGCGCGTCGCCGTCACCTGGCAGGCGCCGGCCGGCCTGGACAGCGACGTCGTCTTCCTAGTGACGGTCGTGCAGGAGCTGGATACGTTCTGGGCCAAGATGCGCTCAGACGTAGTCACCCTGAGCGAGGGGGGCGAGCCGCAGCCGGAGCCCACCTCGGAGCCGGAGCCGGAGCCCACCTCGGAGCCGGAGCCGGAGCCGACCGCGGAGCCAGAGCCGGAGCCGGAGTCGGAGCCGGAGCCGGAGCCCGGCGATGCGCATGACGATCACGATCACCACGATCACGATCATGACGATCACGGTGATGATGACGACAGCTCGGCGGCGTCCGTGCGCGCCGGCCTGGCCGTGGCGCTGGCCCCGCTGCTGGTTGCTGCGATCCACCGCCTTCACTAGACCGCCGGGGGGACGCGTGCGCGTCCGCGGGGCGTCCGTCCACCGGCGGAGGTGGATACGAGATGGGTCCAACGGCTCCGCGGACCGGTCATCGCCTGATTGCACTTTCTTCCGTCCAGTCTTTACCGCGATATGGATGAGTACCTAACTGTAGGGCGGTTCGCTCGCCATGGGTGTACCGTCTCGTTTGTTTGTTTTGTTGGGTTAGGCCCTTTCGGTCGACAAGACCATTGCAGAGCCGGAAGGATGATAGGAATTAGGGGGAGACATTGGTCTGGGCAGGCACCCTAGTGAGTCGCCGGGGCTGAGCCCGTCCAGAGGACAGGCCACCCAGCCCCAAGGCACTCACTGCACCCGGCTACGGGGTGCGCTCCCTCGGGAGCAGCGGTGCCGCTCCAAGGGAGCAGCCCGCATGCATGCGGGCTGAGATAAAGTTGCTTGCCCAGCCCGGAAGGGGGTTGTGGCGTGGAGGAAAAGGATTTCAGTATCCTGAGGATAGAAGCACGGACAGGTGTACCGTCTCGTGCTTGCAGTGGCTATCACTAGGTATATGGCATGCTGTTCGCTGCTCGTTTCAGAGCCGATTGTGGACGGTGTACCAGCGCCCTTCAAGAACTGAACCAGCTTAGCACAGTGTATCTGGGGACTATAACCTGGCGACTGGATAATTGCACACAGTGAGAGAATATGTTTTAAAATGAAGTGATTTAGTGTGTCGGTTCAGTGTTTCCTATATAACAATTTCCGACTTGTTAGACACCTTTTTTATTGTAGATAATACGTCAGCGCACTGCAGGCATCGGTGTGCCAGTTGTCGTGAAATGTGCTTGTATGACATGATCATTTCATTGCATGCCAAGGAGTAAGGATGTCATCCTTTACATATGGTGTTTGATACGATGCTGCATATTTAACGTCTGTGTATATAAACTACAGAAACCTTGCACCTCGTCTTTTATTCGGCATCTGATTTGGAAAGAAATGTCGTTGAAGGACTTGATGTTGAATCTGCATCATTGGCAATAAGATCGATATTTTTACCACAGAAACATATTCAATCTCTTTAATCTAATCACATCTCTGTGTCTGATGGTCCCAGACGCCGTCAAAATTTGTAGGAAAATTCACAGCACAGCCGATGCAGACCTCTTGCAGGCGGATCTGGAAAAGCTGTGCAAATGGTCCCATGGAAACTGAAAGTTAACCCAAGCAAATGCAAGTCTTTTCGGATGACACTCAAAAGCCATCAATAGCAAGAAACTATCTCGTCGGAAACACTGCCCTCAAGCATGTGGACACCATCAGAGTTTCATATTATGACCCCCGGTGACCTGACCTCGCTGTGACCTGACCTGGTATCAGTGACCTCAGATAGCAAAGTAGGTATGTGTTTGATGATCAATGTATCATCGATGGTTTTCAATAAATTACCAATTAACTCGATTTCACAACACATTTCTTGAAATGCCTGTGAACGGTGAAAATCCGACCTTTGACCCGACCTGTGACGTCATCGGTTTGACCTAGGTCAATGAACTTTTGGTCACAAGGTAGTTCCCCGGTGGGGCTATCGAACGCCGTTTGAATTTTGAAAATCGGCTGGTAAATTTCCGAGATCTTAGGGGGGGGGCCGAAACGACCCCCCCTTCGGGTGGTAGGGTCCGCCGATAGCCCTGCGGGGCGCGGGTTAAATGTTCAAATGGTTGCTAAATTCGAATTGAGCTCCAAAAACTAGCCTAGAAACATGTAAACCTAAAAAAGTGGACCGAGGTCGTCAAAGGTCAATGACCTGACCTGAAATCCAGGTAACCTTGACATCCGTCCTGATTCGTGGGAGCAGCATCATATCACATGTTTGGAAGCTTGAAACCACGAAAAGACTGCAAACGCGCGGCTAATGCGAGCCGACATATATCGAGAAGAGAGAGAGAGAGAGAGAGAGAGAGAGAGAGAGAGAGAGAGAGAGAGAGAGAGAGAGAGAGAGAGAGAGAGAAAGAGAGAGGGAGAGAGAGGGAGAGATAGAGAGGAGAGAGATATAAAAAGAGAGAGGAGAGAGAGAGATAGATAGAAAAAGATAGAGAGAGAAAGAGAGAGAGGAGAGAGAGAGAGAAAGAGAGAGGAGAGAGAGAGGGAGAGGGAGAGGGAGAGAGAGAGGGAGAGGGAGAGAGAGAGAGAGAGAGAGAGAGAGAGAGAGAGAGAGAGAGAGAGAGAGAGAGAGAGAGAGAGAAAGAGAGAGAGAGAGAGAGAGAGAGAGAGAGAGAGAGAGAGAGAGAGAGAGAGAGAGAGAGAGAGAGAGAGAGAGAGAGAGAGAGAGAGAGAGAACGAGGTACCTAACGGCCCGACTCGGTGCCTGTTCACTCGGTGCCTGTTCACCGACTCGGTGCCTGTTCACTCGGTGTCTGTTCACCGACTCGGTGCCTGTTCACCGACTCGGTGCCTGTTCACTCGGTGTCTGTTCACCGACTCGGTGCCTGTTCACCGACTCGGTGCCTGGCAGCCTGTTCACCGACTCGGTGCCTGTTCACTCGGTGCCTGTTCACTCGGTGTCTGTTCACCGACTCGGTGCCTGCTCACGCGCAGTCCAGCTCGCCATCCTGTGTGTATGTGAGTCAGCCGCCGCCGCACCGATAGCCTATCGGCAGACCGTCTCCTGATAACAAACACACCAGTGTGCAGGGGCAGTTGGTGCGATTTGAACGTGGCTTCGAGTGGTCTTTCCCCAGTGCATTGGTTCATTGAATTAGTTGGTGTGGAAAAGGTTTTTCTGTTTAAATAGAAGAAGAAGAATTAATAAGTATACATGGGTGTACATCAGTAATCGATAACTGTGTGTTTGAAGCGACAGCGACCAGCGGGCGCTTCAGGAGCATCTCTGTGTGATACTGTGATACGTGGTAACGGTTTTCGAACGACGGATATAGACACAGGGCCCGAACCGAGAGGTGAAGAGTGACAGTGACGAGAGACAAGCCCACTGCACCAGCACGACATTCCTGTGGCCATCCAGAGTACCGATGGCCAAGGTGCGCGTTGACTTATTGACTGAGCTGTTCTAGCTGTGAACCGATAAATAAATTCACAGCACAGCGTCCAGAAAAAAGTGACATTTATGAATGCAGCTAGATATTTGAAACAAGACTGTCAATGAGTGTAAAAGTGATACTCAGCATGTCATTTCAAAGGTGTTTTACAGTGTCCCTTCTTGCCGTGCTGCTTGCATTGACTGCAATATCAGGTAAGTCTTTTAACACTAGGGGTCAAAATGCCCCCCCCCCCCCTCTCCTTCTCTACCGATATCTTTCAAAGTATTGCAGATATCGTTACCAAACTTTTAGGACCCCTCCGGGCATTCTTTTTAAGCGTGGTGGCCAAGTTTTCCTAAAAGCTATGATAGGTAGACCGTAAATGACGTCAGAGTGACGTCATGTTCCACAATTTTCGACTCTCAAAGAAGGCTTTGCGGGAAGAGGTGTCACGCTTACATTTTTAAAGATAATCACAGCAGAGACGTAGAATTAACAGGCTTAAAAAATTTTATCTCTGATTTTTGAAAATGTTGGATTTTGATCAACTAAAATAAAAAAATGGCTATATGATACCCTCAAAATCTGTGACATTATGCATATTTCGAAAACCGTGAATATCTGATAGGTACATCTCCTTCAGTCTTCCATCGGCATACCAAATTTGAGATCGATACCTTCTTTTTTTTCTTTTCTAAAGTTAGTCCGAATTTTTTTAATTGAAGGATACTCAAGGACACAACCCCTACTTACCCCCTAAACAGAGCTTGTTGCGTTGGCCCTACCCGCTACCCTCCGATCGCGCAGTTCCTGACCTATGGTAGAATTTGAGTCCGAAGTTGAACGTATCATAGCCGCGCAAGGCCGGTTTCCTCAATGACTTCATCTGGATATGGCCTGCCACCAACCACAACCATACCGGTCAGTATGGTCATAAACACCGAGCGCCCGTTGCGCTTCGAGCCCGGACTTTCACAACCGGGACGCGTGCTCTCACCACGCGGAGTCCAAAGCCCTACTGACTAAGCTGCGAAGTTTTGGCTATGTTTTGGCTAAGTATGGCGAAAAACTACTCAAAATTGATGACGTACTAATTACTATTTTAAGCTCAATTTTAGCCGTTATAGATTACGTAGCGCAAAACGAAAAGGACCATTAGCTTTCCCGTGACGAGCTGCATCGAATCAATACCTTTCTTTGCAAAATAGCAAATTCTAAATTTAACCTAAATTGACCTAGGGGCTAGGATAAGGAGAGGTAACTTCGTGAAATCATTAACTTCGTGATTCGCAATTTCTCAGAAATCTGAAAAGTTGCAGCGCTGTCAATCATCTCATCCTGTGGGGATCGGGCAGCAGGTAAAGTGACTTTCATGACCATATAAAGAACTTTGAAATTGGTTGGTAACTGTAGCTTTTGTGAGCGTTTCAAGATTTCATGTTTTTTGCTCATTTTTGCTCGAACATGACCTCAGTTTGACCTCAATAACTCCTGACCTAAGGTGACCTGAGATTTGAAATATTGTGTGAAGGTGTCAAATTGATGCCCGGGAAGGCACTGAAAATTTGGTGGCGCTGCGCGTCGCCGTTTTCTTGCTATTCACGAAAAACCACAGAAGGGCAAAGTTGCCCCCCCCAGCGGGGCGAGGGTTCCTCGCCGGGCCAGGGCGTTGATGCGACCCCTCCCCAAGGTTTTTCGCGAATAACGTAAAAACATCGGCGCGTAGCGCCGACAAATTTGGCACGCCCTCTAAGGCAACCGTTTGGCACCTTCCCTGAAAATTTCAGGTCTCTGTCGTTACAGGTCAGGTCACTAGGTCACCAAAACCGGTACAATGTCAGGGTAAAATTGGGCTTTATTAGCGGCAACGGAATCGCTGAGTTTATCGTTAACCCGGCCGGGCCCGGGGGGTAATCCCAACCACCGCAGCCCGGGGAGGGGCGTTTTTCGCCCCCCCTGTCTAACTCCGTAAATAAGGGAGCTAGGCAAACAAAAGCGATACCAAACGAAAGGTGCTTACGAGGCGATTCTGAAGCACCCAAAATTTTTGACCTAAGGTCAATTTTCAAGGTCAGAGGTCAAGGTCAAAGGCAAAAACCGGCACATGTGTAGTAATCTCAAAGTAAGCGTTCTAGAAGACGGCAGGATACATAAAACCTGCAAAATTGGGTGTCAAACGAAAGAAGAGAATCTCAGGATTTCGAGAATGTGCTCAACATCAAAGGTCAAGGTCAAGGTCATGCTCAAAATTGACCTCAAACTTTGCACTTTTTCGTACATCTTGCGTGCTAACTTCCAAGATGTTTTCAAATGTTTTGAGGCTTATCAGGTCCTTATTTGTGGTTCATCTTACGATACAAGGCTGCTCAAAGGTCAAGGTCACAGAAGAGAGTCCTTGCTAGAGGCTATTTCACTGATTCACGTTAGTAATGATAAATAAGACAATTTTGCCATCCGGAGGCTCTAAATGAAGGCTTAGAGGAAAATAGATGCCAGATTCGTGATCAGCGGGTACGAATCCATCATAAACGACCTTTGATGTGTCAAGGTCAACCAAAGGTCATTCGAGGTCACATGAGGTCAACATAAAGCTTGACCTTTTCCAAACAAAATATATATTATTCGATGCGGCTTGACAAGGCAAATGCGATGGTACCACTGCCGTAGCTCTAGGACCATTTTTGTCGAAGTTATAAAGTAAAACCACAGCTCGGGGTCGTTGACCTGACCTCTGACCTCAGGTCACCAAAACTATTTTTGTATTTTTCTCTAGGTCAAACGCTACACAACCGTGCTTGTAATTTGTCTTTATCTCTAAAACTCTATTTTTAGCAGCTATTTGAAGTTCGCATCTGTGACACCGAAGTTTGCCGTGCAGGGGTCTAGAAAAATCGAACCTGTGACGTCATCAATGGGGTTA